TATTTACATATTCAATTTACTCGAACTTTATTAATATTCAATTTATTCGAATAGTCAGATTTTAGGTTCTAATACTAATAGCATTTGAATTTGCTGAATATTTAAATTTCATATTGGAATTATCGGAATATTCAAATTTCGAATCTAAATTCTATTGGTATTCGAATTATCTGAATATTTGAAATTCAGATTCAAATGATCTAAGTATTTGAATTTAACATTTAAACTATACTGATACTCAAGGTTTGAATCTAAAATCTAGTGGTATTCGAATTATTCGAATTTCAGATTCGAACTCTACTGATATTTAGATTTCAAATCCAAATCCTAGTGGTATTCGAATTATCAGAAAATTCAAATTTCGAATTCAAATTCCAATGGTATTCGAATTATCTGAATATTCAAATTTCGAATTCAAATTCCAATTATATTCGAATTATCTGAATATTATTGAATCATCCGAATATTCGAAATTTAAATCCAAACTCTCCTGATATTCAACGTATTCAAATATTCAAGTTTTAAATCCAAATTCGAATACTATGCGACTTTCTAAAATATTTAAATCTCAAATTTGAATTTTAATGGTATTCGAATATTCAAATATTCAAATTTTTATTACTATCCTGGTACTAACCCTTATAAAGTACATTTATTTAACAGAAATTTTATAAATGAAGTTTGATAGGCTACCAATAAAGAGATCAAGACATAGCAACAACGTTTATTTTCTGATTGTTACAAGAAATTTTTTACAGTTTATAAGTGTTTGCATTCATTTAAATTTTACAGTACCAATTCTTATAATTATTTGTGTTTTTTTTCCTCTTTGCTGTATATTCTTGTATATTCCTACGTATCTTATTTTTGTATATTTTTTTCTTTGTTACATTTCTTTTATCTGATATCCTCTAGATATTATTTCTCTTATTAATTACTACCATTTTTCTGTATTAAAGAGTCTTGTTTCTGTATACATATTTGAATAAGTATTCAATTCTCTCGACTTCGTTTTACGAATTCTGAGAATTAAATTACGTTTCCATTGTACAGAAAGCACACAATTTCGTCAAGTGTGCAAATTATCGCTGATTTTATTTTCCATTTCATTTATCGTCGTCTGGCTTGTGTTCTTAACACGGCTCATCAATTATCGTTACTTCCGTTGCTCCCAATTCACGCCACAACCATACAATTACCAAGGGATTTGTTTAACATTTAACACGTGAACAGCCGGTAATCCACGCGCACCACAATGTTCTGGAACGTGAAAAATTAACTGGTGGTAATTCGCATTTATTTTACACGCCGCGGGACGAAATTCATGCTCGTAAATTATCGACTGTTTCCTATTTTCGGAAATAAAATATCCTGACGGAGATATTATTTTATATGTGGTCCCAGTGCTCAATAATGGGTTTATCATTTCAATCACCGATGTAATTGTTGCGGATTTATTTTTCATACGGTTATTGTGACTGTTGATGTAAAGACCTTTTTTTATCCCTTACTCGGTGTAATATTTTATAATTCACACGAAGATCATCTTATATTTTAATCCCATCACAGATGTCTACTTAAATTTTATTAATCATAAGTCCTCTGAAATCTGAATATTCATAATTTTGTTGCAGTTTATATACACGGGAGTAATTTAATTAACAAGGACAATTTGTAGGAGAGGGGAGAAAAAGGCGTTTCGTCTTGGGATCGTCTGTCAGACACCTATCATACCACAATTCGGAACTCCTATATATTCGAACTGCATGCCAGGCGACTGCTTGCGAGAACACTGTCATCATCTCGCCGCCACCTAGCGGTCCCAGGCCCGAACTAATTTCGTCCAGTGAGACGAAACACTCTCTCCCCCTCCACTAAACGCCTATAAATTATTTAACCCTTAAATAGCGGAGTCTGAGTTATTCCTGACCCTTTACAAAGCATATGTAAAGATATTATTCTAAAGTTAAATATACGTAAAGTTAAATATAAATATCTAAAGTTAAATAAGAATCATTTTTAGAGGATGGGTAAGAGCTCGAAAATTTTGGATATCCGGTATCCCTAGTTGGGTGGAAATTGTTTTGATCGGTTCAAAGTTCATTAGATATAGTTTTTCATGAATAAAAGATCGTCTCGAAACACAGATCTCCAAATTTGGAGAATTCGAATCGACCGAAATAATTCTCGACCCAATTCGAGTATCGAGTACCCGAAACTTTTGTGTTCTCGTACATCTATACTTTTGAGAACCCGACCTGACCCGAATCGTGCAAATTCCACCCGAGTATTGGGTACCCGAAATTTTCAAGTTCTCGCACACCTCTTTTTAACAGTTATTGATCAATTTTATATACTTTCACCGTTCAAACATCGTTTCTCTATATCATTACATAGTCAAACGTTTTTCTATTTAAATTAACATTTTATTCTTTACTTCATCCTCATAACTCCTTAAACACGTTCCGTGCTAGCTGAAATTTAAGATATATGGCAAATGTTCGAAACCGTGCAATATCGAAGGGTAAAGTTTTAGAAATATATCTCTAGCTGTTCATATTAAGAACTTCCAACGATACGAAGCTATTTTAAAGTTCGGAGACTTCGATTGATAAATCATTGAAGGAATTTTACAGAGTTACCATTTTTTAAATAAAATATATACTACTTTTGTTTCTTATTCATTTTATAAAAATTTTCCTGTAGATATTGCATTTGAGTAGTGTGTTATATTTCAGTGGCTTGATACAAAAAGTACCAATGAAAGAAGTACCACTTATGTTAAAAAATTCATGCTCAAATAATTTATGACACAGACATTTCTGCTGTTTCAGATTTCTTTTCTAATACTAAACGGGTCAATTAAAGCTTATGTTATTTGTGTTTTTTTACAAAAAGATATAAGTTTATCAAATAAGTTTATTTTATGGAAAAGTTTAACATTGTTATGTACAAATGTTTTCTGAGCCTATCATAGATTTTAATTAATTATCGCCAATTTAACCAGTAAATATAGTCCAAATTATATTGTGTTTGGTATTATTTTAATTAGAAAAATGTCACAAATATCCTGGTAAAAGTTTTACTAAAAAAAAATATATAGAAATCGTTACGTTACTTGGCTAGTAAATTTTGTGGCGTCTTAAAGGGTATACGCCTCAGTGGGGATGAATTCTTAGCTTTCGTCGTACAAATCTTTTCCGCTTTCATCGAATCTTTACTCTATTTGTAAATTCTAATTCAGCACCAAAAAGTCGCGTATGAGGTTACCTCGGTAATAGCGCCTTGATGAGGGCGAGGAATGCTGATTTGCTAAAGGCAAAAACTGCGGGAAGGGAAGTCAAAAGTGACCGCCCAAAAGCTAACAGTACTTCGTAGATATTTTCACCCTTGAAAGAAGTGCAGGGGAAGCTTAGCACGTTTCGAATATTGACCGTGACAGGTAACAAAATTAGGAAGAGCTTTGACTCTAACAAAACATGCTTGAAATAACGGAATAGAAAATTAGAAATGGTAAATTCGTCTCGGCAGACTTGGCAAACAAACGCAAACAATGGATACAAAATTAAAGTGGAAATCGCAAAGTTCTTTATAGCTTCATAAGTTTATCGTTGCCACGGCATAGTTTCGAGATGCTCCGAAGTAGAAGTCATAAATGCATAGCGAGGCGCAATTCTTGATACTTTAGATTTTATTTTCCTGCTTCAAATAGTCTCCAATTTCGGAGTGATCCTTCCAGTATAGCATAGTTAATTGTATTGTATAATATACTACATGAAATAATCTAGTTGACAGACCACGTGCAATGTTCAACAAAGCTCGAACGATTTATTCGACCACGAGCGTTAACAAATATCATTATAGTCATTTCTGGATAGAATTTGAAATTGTCATTTTCTATATAGCATATACAATTATCTACAGATTCAATATCTTTTTTTTTTTTAATTAAGAGTTTATAGTCGCATCAACAACAAAGGAGGTTATTAGCGACTGTATTGTTTAACTCATTTTTGCAAAAATATGACATTGGCATTTCTAACATAAAACTACAGATTTAATTTTCTACTATGTTCTTAGCTTACTTAATTAATATTTTGCTGTAATTTACTTCATGTAGCAGAATTAAACAGTTATTAGTAACTTTTTCTTTAGAAGTAGTATGATTGTAACACTGGTATTATACTCTCTTCTTGAAGTTACTTTCATATTTTTGAAGTAGTAAGAAAACTTCTTCCGGTAGCAGTCGTGAATGATGTCATGTCCGTTGCAAGTAGTGCCCAAATTGGAAGTCCGCGCAGTGACCCAGTTTCTGCGGGCAAAAAAAATGTAATCCCATTGAAATTCATCGCCAATTGAGTGAAGTGTATGGTAAAGGATCGCATGAAAAAGGGTTTTCTGAAACGGTAATGTTATTCTAACAAAGAAATGCAAAATGCGACGCAAGAGTGAACGCTGGAAGGAAACTTTTCAGAGAAGGAATATAAAAATTTGAAAGATGTTTAAATAAACTTGGTGATTATATCGAAGTGTTTCTTTAACATTGCACTTTCAAGTAAATAATAAAAATTGACCCAAATATTCAATCTTTATTTTTCAAAATGAATGCAACCAGTTTTATGATTTACTGACAAAATAATGTGCTTTTTATAATGTTTATGGTTACTATTTATTTAAATATGTAGAGGGAAAGAAAGTTCTTTTTTTTCAAATACACTTGAAGCTTAGAGTTCAAAAGGTATAAATGACATTTTTACTTACTTTTTTTTTATTTACAGTATTATGTTTAACAATTGAACTAATCATTTCTGTTTGTAATTTAAAAATTTTAAAAATGTCACTTGCATCCTTTTGGTTCTAAGTACCTCATTTTTTATCTTACTAAATTGACATAGTAAATATTAAGCATATTGTTAACATTGTTAAATAAATAACTGTATATGAAGAACTGTTTCAATGTTTTCTTATTTTTTAACAATCCAAAATTTTAATTTTAGCAATATCACAATTGCAGAATACTGATGGTTTTTATCAAAGAACTAACTTTAGTCAAAAGGTTAACTAAGGGAGTGTAGACCCAGATAGCACCGTACATCCCAGGGACGTCCGTTTCATGTCCAGATTATGTCCGAACGTCCAACGTCCATTTTGAACATCCTTGGGATGTCCACAAGACGTATATGTATTTCGTATGTCCTAGGAACGTCCGTCTTGAAAGTCCTACGGACGTCCGTAAGGCGAACGTTTCGTATGTCCTAGGAACGTCCGTCTTGAAGGTCCTACGGACATAGATGAGACGTATGTCCAAAATAGGGTAGAATGACCCTACGTCACCCGCGCGGCGAGAGCGACCGAAGTTTGGGGCCTGCTGTTTTATGACAAGGCCTAAACAGAAAACAGATCCCGGGCGCTGACAAACGATTGGCGGAATTCCCAACTTGAGAATATGACGAGCCACCATCGACACTTTTTCGTGAAACGCTGTTGCGACAAGACGTATAGCGAGTCTCCATACACTTTGAGTGTGAATTTCAAGCGTTGACGATCGTCATATTACGAGTGAATATTAGTATTCCTTACTGGTGTTTATAGTGTGTTGACGAGTTTTTCTGCCACCTCAGGTAAGTGTCACTTTTTTCTTAATTAACTTAATTCCTTAATTTTTCTTAATATGTAATAGGTAATAATGACTTCTTTGAGACGACAACACATATGTTATTCGTATACGATGCATACCGATTTCTTATTCTTCTTTATGAAATGGTGGTGCGTACAATTCTATGTATATATATATATATATGAAAAACGTATAGTCGGTATCCATCATATATTATTTTTTATATTTATTTGTATCGAATTGAATATATTATTCAACTGAATTTCTATTATTTAGACGCAGCACAAACATCAAAAGTGTGCAAAGATAAGAAAGAAACGGAGGTGTCCATACCGTCTTGGCTAAGGAGAGCTGCGGAACGCAACAAGATCATTGTAAAAGATTTTTAGTAGAAATAATAAAATAAATAATAGATATGTAATAAAAATAAAGATTATAAAAAAAAGTACAGAAAATGTTTTGTAATTTTAAATGCTCGAAAAACATTCCTTATATGGCTTTCAAAACGTTAGCATAGCGTTCTGCAAAGTTTTGTAAACGTTCACACAACGTACAGAGAATGTTACTTTCGGACGTTCTGAATACGTTCCTTGTACGCCTTTCAAGACGTTAGTATAACGTTCTGCAAAATTTTGTAAACGTTCAGACAACGTACAGAGAATGTTACTTTAGGACGTTCAGAAAACATCCTGAGAATGTGCGCACAGGACGTCCCCTGGACGTTCCACTTTTTAACAGGCACCTTCCTAGGATCTTTAAAGGACATAACCAGGATATATAGGGGACATATGGATGTTAACGGGACATTCTCCGTATGTACGAAACGTCCAGCATGGACGTTCGATGGACATATATGAAATGTTTCTGTGCTATCTGGGAGAGAACATTGAATACGAGTATTACAAAAAAAAATATTCAAAAATTTGTAAGAGTACCAACTCGTGTATTCGATTATAAATCTAAATGCAATTCTAAATGCAAAATAATTAATAACTACCCTAAACGTAACTGAGTGTAATCTGTTTTTAAGTTTGTTTGTTAGATACTCAAACAGCAAAAAATGATTCATACTGTAGACTGTAAGTAATTATTTAAATCACTGCAAAGAATAATACACAATTAAAGATATTTACCTAAAATTGAATGTGTATTTTTTAAACGAAAGAGTTTCATACATTAAAAGAATAATTTTTAAAAGAACATTGCAAAATTAAGAAAATGATAATAATGTGAAATACAAAATTGAAATTTTGGGCTTCTCTTCATAGTCCACTATCCAAAGAAAAAAAGTATTCTATTTCATAGCATATATAACGACATATTTACTGTCATATCTACTTCAAGATATACAATTACCATAAACTGAAGGAACATTGAGTAGTTTTTGTGAAGGTCTTGTCAAACTGATATAGTACAGTGTAGTAAGCGCTCGCTAATTACCTGCCATATAATTCTCAGTTAGTAACACCTCGTGCTCAAACACAAATGAATCACCAATGAACGTATAGCTGTGCCACAAAAACGAATGAACTGTGAAGAATGCACCAATGCCATTGATGCTCGATAATTCCCTGTTCTTAGAATTTCCCGTCTACAGAATCCCAAATGCGGAGAATTATCGAACGAATGCTGTACTTCGTTAGTTTTTACTTGAATACTTTTAACAAATGAATGTCTCAATTACTGAGCTCTTTAATGGATTCATAGTAACGAAAGTTTTAAGTTCCATTGAAATGTTAAGAATTCGTGAAAATCAATCCTAAGCAACGAGTAACGGAAATTGAAGGAGATTAAAAGAAGCGTTTGGACAGGAAGCGAGCAGAAGCACGTGAAAATTCGTCTGCTGATTTCCGTGGCGTCCCGAGAGATTATCGCCATTGCCACGGCTACGATGGCGACAGTGGCTGTGGTGATTACGTCGAATGGATATGGGAAGGAACGAGTCCAATCTCAGCATCGCGCTTCGATGGGCAATATCACTGGCTTATCATTCATCCTCTACTTTGTCGTTGTACCTATACGTGTGCACGCGCGCGCGCGTTCATGAATTTGGTATAATATAAATTGGTAAACTGTATAGCACAAATAAAATAAAACGACACTCTTTTGCATTAAAAAAAAAAAAATTGGAAATTCATTCATCACTTCTGTTAGTATTTAAATGATAATTGTTATCAAGTCTCACAAGGGAATGGTTAAAAGTGGATGGTAGAGTTGCTCGTCCAGACTATGTTTATTCGAAAGAGCATGAAACGAGGAGTTTATGGTGCAATTTTTTAGTGCCATTGGCAACAGGTTCAAAAGTTATGGGACTTTGAAATTTTCATATTTTTAACTGCAAAATGATTAGAAATCGAAATATGAAGTGAAAATTAAGTGTAAAAGTGACAAAGGCATGAATTTGAAATGATTAGATGATGTTTACTAACAATTAAGATGGGTTTCAGAGAATTGTGATGCAATTTGCACTTGTGTGATCATTTGCACTTAAAAATATGTAAATTTCAAAGTCCCATAACTTTTGAACCCGTTACCAATGGCAGCCAAAAATTGCACCATAAACTCCTCGTTTCATGCTTTTTTGAATAAACATAGTCTGGACGAGCAACTCTACCATCCACTTTTGACTATTCCCTTATCAGTCTTAATTACTACAATATAATGCTTGGGTCTTTTTTATCCGACTTCGAAAAGGAGGAGGATACTCAATTCGATGTGTATGTATTTTTTTTTTCTTTTTTTTTTTTTATGTATGTTCATCGATTACGCCGAGACGGATGGACCAATCGGAACGAAACCTTTTGCATCTGGTAGAGTATGTCTTCCGATTGGTCCCGTTAAAAAAACATTTTGCATTTTTTCATTCCGAACGCTTTTTCATATCTAAAAGCTATACTAATTCGCAAATGACGGAAGTGATTTATTTTTTATACTACAAACTTAAAGGGATTTTCTCATCAAATCGCTTAAAATATAGATGATTTTTAGGAACTTTTTTCTTAAAGTTTACAACATATTGTAAAAGAACTTCTCGCTTATTTGTATACATTATTCGAGCATACAAAAATAATTTTGTTATTATGATTCCTGTTGTAGTGTCATTTGTAGATTGGGGTCACTATACTGCTTACAAAATAGGAGGTGAAAGCGGTGGCTATTATAATTTATCGTAGAATGTTTGGAAATGAAAAAACGAAAGAAACTCTTAACACGTTTCCTGTCACATGACTCGAAGACGATGTCACGTGTCCGATTGTCAACTTTTTAATAACAAAAATATAGCGTGACATATAGCATGCGCAGGAATGTCAAATAATAAGCAAACGCGTGTAAATTTCGAATGCAGTAACTATGCAAATGTATGTACGTACTGGATAGAAAACATAATTATCTAATTAATTATTAATAAATGCAACGATTATAGCACAGCTGTGATAGTTATTAAAAAAGAGACAAATTATAATTAAAAAAAAAAAAAAAAAGTTGAGAACCATGGAATTTGAACCGTGGACCTTCAGATTACGAGTCAAGTGTTTTATCACAAAACTAACAGTTTGCATGTGTGAGTTTGCCATACTTCTCAATGTAAAGAACAACTAACTTTAATTGTTAATATCTTTTAAACAATTAGCCGTCTGCTCCCAAAATAAGGTATAAGCGTGTTCAGCTCGACTAGCTCTACAAGGTGGCAAAGTTTCATTAATAAGTGAGCGTTACACTTGGATAGTTCCCCTCGTAAGTGTTAATAAAAAAAACCTGTGTTCCAAAATTCACCATTTTGGTTCATGCAATAGCCAATTCAATAACAAAAAGAACACTGTAAGAATTTTTCGAATCGGTTCACAACTTCTTTTGTGAGCCTAGCCACCGTCTGTAAAAATCGCGCTTAAAGAAAAACGCGTTTAAAGCTTTATTTTGCATTCTCATGTTTGTTTCATTAAAATTAGGTACTCTTCCAGTGATCTACCATTAGTCAGCAGTACCCTTCTGTCTTCAAAAGCAAGTTTCATGCCTTTTGATGAAAAAGTTTCCTTAATGTATTTTTTTATTTTTAAAGTATTATTGTTAATTTCGCTTAATTTGCCTTTTCGTATCTATGAAAAATCATAGTATAATAAGTACAGAGCTTATTTCAAGTGTAATACTTGCAAAAAAATTATATAATATAATTTTAATTTTCTTTAGGTATACCGTTAAACAAGAAGTAAATGACGTTAAGGAATTCTTAAAAACATTATCAAATAAATTGTAATAACAAAAAGAATAATTTACTTACAAACTTGTTTATAGAATTACTTGAGTATATTTTGTATAAAATATAACAACCCCTTAACACTTTTATTGAAAAATTAATTAATATAGAATCTAATCGACGCATTATTATTTATCGTTTCTAAAAATTTCAAATGTCATGATAACAATAATTATTCATTAGTGTCTACGTAAATTATGTTTTACACTTTCCAAACTTTCTATATTTTATTACACTTGCTAGAAAAGTAAAAGGATATTATTTCTCTTCCTGATATCGTTACTAACGAATAAATAGATTGATTTCCTTGTCTTCGACTGCGATAAGCATTGACGAATGCGTTGAAACACTTTAAACGTTTTCATGAGAATCCTGAAAGCATTGTTTTGTTATCTTGGTTCGGCTTTCCCAAGTGAAATAAATCTTTGAGAGTTTTACAGTTTTAAGGATCAAAGGTTTTCTTCCGTGTCTCGTTACGTGTACTGAGATTGCACGGAAATGCGAAGTCATAAATTGATCCCTCCAGACGAATACTCGTAAATAAGATCTCGAATTCTTCGTCTCTTGTTTTCCCATTATACCTTCTTTGTCTGGTTACTTTACAAAGCTTCAATCGCTGCCTTTCGTCAACAACGTACCGTTACAGATTCGAATTTCTACTTAAAAACTTTCCATTGCACTAACAATCTCTCCATTCTCATTATAAATTAGCATTTACTTTATGAAACGGAGAGTATATTCTAAATACAAAGCATTAATTGACTCATTAATTTCAAGACGTCGAAATTAGTCGATATTAGTTTAAAGATGGTAGGTTTCATCGTAGAGAGAAATACAAGCTCCTAGATAATTAAGTATAATATTCATTTATCATAGTGAATATTTATTTATGGCAATAAAAGATAAAGAAATTTCTGACCACAAAAAGCATTGTAAAATATTGCAAATACACAACTTTGAGTGCCGCTTAGTTAATATGTAGAATTCCCTTTAACGATAGAATCAAAAATTAAAAAATAGTAAAATACATTTCATTCTGCAAATTCAACTGCAAATATTTAGGGATGTGAAATTTTTTCGTGGAAAAATTTATAAATGAAGTATGTGGGAAATAGAAAAAGTGTTTAATAATGACAGGTTTAGTATGTCTGACTACACATGGCCTTTTCTACTGT